GTATATTCCTTCCTTGGACGTCGTCGTGAATCCTTTAGGATCCAGGATCATCGGGATGGGCGTTTTTTCACAGACAGAGAATTCGTGATTTTTCAGGAATTGAATGATTGCTAGCTTCGATTGTATTAATCCCAACCGCATGCCTGAAAAACAGAATGAAGAAATAGTCAAGAACAAGCAATGTATATAATCGTTTAGTTGATACTAACCAATGCAGATGCGAGGTCCTTCGCCGAAGGGAAAATAGGTGAATGGGGTTTTGGACCTTTTCGCCTCATCACTGAACCTTAGGGGGTCGTACTTCTCTGGTTCTGGGAAATACTCCGGATCGTAGTGCATACCGAGCATGGACATGTATATCGGTGTACCTTTCTCTATTACCAAGTCGGAATTGGGTACCTTGTAATCAGCTCCAGCGACTCTGTCTAAGAATCCTAGAGGCGGGTATTTGCGAAGGGTTTCAGATACTACCATGTCGAGATACGGTAACGTCGTAACCTGTGAGAAAGACAATATAAGAGCCACTGATAGAACTATATTGTTAATTAATGAAATAAATACTGTCACGTATATTTGGCCGTTTAAAAGATTATAAAATTTGGAAAGCTGTATCACACTGTTATAATGTTAAGAAATAGCAGTTTTCGTACCATTTCGTAAGTAATTTTGCCCTCAGTCTTCTCAAGGGCTTCATGAATCTTCTCTCTAAGAGTCTTCTGAATCTCGGGATTCAAAGCTAATTCATACAGTGTGAAAGCCGTGGTAGTGGATGACGTTTCGAAACCACCAGTGAAAAACACAGCGGCTTGCGCCAATAAATCGTCACCTTCGAATTCTGAAGTAAAAATTTTTCAAGATAAGAAAATCGCTCGTTTCCTCTGCAAAGAGCACACTTAACATGCGCACGTTATTACGGAAGTGAAATGATCAATAAGAAAATACTTACTGAATCCGTCTACTTCTTCGCCCTTGTGTTTCTTCCTGAGCTCTATTAACAAATCGATGAGATCGTTTCTCTTCTCTCCAGACTCTATTCGATGATTGATCACATCCCAAAAGGCGTTTCGAAAGAATCTGGTCGCCTCGGCGCCGAAAAATTTCGGATGAATATAGTCGACCCACTGAGGGAAGAAGAATATTGTAAGGAAGTTGAGGGACCGAATGAAATTGAAGTTGAAAATCTTTCTGCCCGCCGAACGAAACGCGTTGTTCGGATCGGCCAGCGAGTTCACTCGCAAACCGAACGCCGTAGAGCTGATCATATCCGTGGTTACGTTCGCCGCGAGATCTTTCAATTCCAATATTTTCCCATTGCCTAGAAGAAATGGACACTCGTTGGTTAAAAATTCTTTATAGATATCAATTATTCTATTAATACGGATTTCTATACGAATTAATTAATACATCAAATTGAAAACGTAGAGTACATGAATCAACAAATTGAGGACGTGTCGAAAACTAATTCTGCTGACATAAGATGTGATAAGATAATGGTTACTATGATCATTTATTGCACGCCGTTCTCCGGTACCAAAAATATATAATAGTTCCATTGAAGACAATTAATAGTTATTTACGTTGATAATTATAATTATGCAAATTAAATTTATACAGGATCAGTTGTCCTATATACATTTGTCTCTTCCTTCAATTAAGAGATCAATTTCTTCGAACACGTATATTTTCCGAAGTTACGTAACAATGTTAATGTTTTTAAGTTACGAAAACAAAAAACTTGATATATGGAATACAAATAACAACGCT